ACTTCAGTAACACTCCACCACTAGTGTTCCCTACGGTTGTCTCTGCCTCAAGATACTGTTTTCAACATGAGAATACCAGGAAACTATCTCCATCGATGGGAATCACAGAAATTCTGCCATTTCACTTCAAAGACAGTAGCAGAAAAGTGGGCATGGATTTTCTTTTTCTTTTCTTTTGTTTTTGTTGTTGTTGCTTTGTTTTTTTTCAAGACAGTGTTTCTCTGTTTTAGCTTTGGAGCCTGTCCTGGAACTCACTCCGTAGACCAGGCTGCTCTTGAACTCACAGAAATCCACACCCCTCTTCCTCCCTAGTGCTGAGACTGAAGGTGTGTACCACCATGACCCGGAGACATGGGATTTTCTAATTACATTAGAACTTGCCTTCTTCCCGCTTTTCAACATTACTCATCTCACAAGCTCGTGGAAAATAAAAGTATAGGAATAGCCCAAACGCATAAAGATATAATCCCCTCACTCCATCTGAGACAGGTGAACTCTATCAGGTCATATTTTACATTATAGGCATGTATTCCAAACCAAAAGAAACGGAGAATGTTCCAGGCATGCCTTCTCATCTCTGGCTCTCTTCTAGCAAGAATGTGTGAGTCGTGTGCTGGACAGGGCAATAAACAGACGAAGTGGACTTCCAGTGCAGTGAGCAGGAACCACGTCCAAAGAAGGAAACATCCTAACAAAAACTGCTCCTGCAGTCTGTTTGCTGTTTTCTAGTGAGCTTTTAACAACTTCAGATCTGCAGAGACACCATGAAGCTTCTACGGAGGTCTCACATCTCGTCTTACATCTCACATACCGCCTCCCAAGCTTGCTGGCAGGAGCGGAAGCAGGAGCGGGAGAGAGGGAGAGAAGGAGAGACGGAGAGAGGGGGAGAGGGAGAGAGAGGGAGAGAGGGAGAGGGAGAGGGAGAGAGAGAGAGAGAGAGAGGGAGGGAGGGAGGGAGGGAGGGAGGGAGGGAGGGAGAGAGAGAGGAGAGAGAGAGAGAGAGAGAGAGAGAGAGAGAGAGAGAGAGAGAGAGAGAGAGAGATGTTTGGAGACAGTGTTACTCTGTAGATCGGCTGGTCTGGAATTCAGACATCTGTTTTCCTTTGCTTTCCCAGTACTGAGATTAAGGCTGTGTGCCACAAGCCCACTAGAGTTCCTTGTTTTTGGTAACAATTGCAGTTCTTAGAAGTACTGGTCAGATGTCTGGTACAATGCTGTATTTGTTGGGTGTTCTCATGACTTTTTGAGTTTTTAAAAGAGACCACAGAAGTGAAGTGCTATTTCATCACACTCTATTAAATGAATGCACATGTTCACTGTTGTCAACTTTGGGTACATGGCTAAGGTCATACAAGTCACGTTTATCCACTATGGGCCATTCTTTACTCTTTGGGAAGAAGTCACTATCCACATGCCTAACTTGACAATGTGGACTATGTTCCACCTCCTGAGGGCAGGCTATCCATATAAATTAGTTGACATTTCTCCAGAAGTTAACAATTTTTTAAAAGAAATCAGTCATGTGTAATGGAGTACACCATTAACCCCAGCACTAAAGCAGGAGAATTGCCTGTTTCAAAAGAACAGCCAAGGTGGGCTCACCAACTCTGCAACTACTCAGGCCTAGAGCCAGCGTTATGAGTTGGCCCATCCCAACATCCACCTCATCTGTGATCTGTTTGAGCACACGAAGGGGCCAGTCCAGCAGACCCAAAGCAGTAGGATCTCCATGGCACAGGATATCCAAGAGGAGTTCCAGTGAGGGCCCAGAAACCAGAGGCCTTGAACCAGACCAATGACTCCTTGCTATGAACACTTGCAAGTAAAGATGTGTGGATAAAAGGGTTTGCTGCCTGACCCACTGTGTCACACCACAGCTTCCATGACGAGGTTGATTTTTCCTCTTCAATCTTATTTTATTTTATTTTGGGGAGGAGGTTGCAAGGGCAGAGGGCAGACATGAAGAGACAGGGAAATGTATGGGATGGAGAAGCATGATGTGAAAGACACAAAGAATAAATACAAAGAAAATTAAAAAAAGAAAGAAACAAGCCAAGAACTGGGCATGCGGTTCAGCTGGTCGTGCTTGCCTAGCACACAAAGCCTTTGGTTTTATTCCCAGCACTGTATAAAATGGCTCGGTGTTACAGGCCTCTAATTCAGGACTTGGAAGGAATATGTGATAGTCTGAATGCAATTGGCCCCCATAATCTCATAGGGAGTGGCACTATCAGGAGGTGTGGCTTTGCTGTACAGCCTGTTGGAGGAAGTGTGTCACTGTGGGGGCAGGCCTTGCGGTTTCCTATGCTCGGGATACCACCCAGTATTTTAGTTGACTTCCTGTTGTCTGCAAGATCTAGGGCTCTCAGCTCTTTTTCAGCACTGTGTCTGCCTGCCTGCCGCCATGGACCCCCACGACGATCATGCATTGAGCCTCTGAACTGTAAGCGAGCCACCACAATGAAATGCTTTCTTTATCAGAGTTGCCATGGTCATGGTGTCTCTTCACAGCAACGGAAACCCTGAGTATAGTAGGCTCATCGGTTCCGGGTCAGCATCAGAGAGCCTGGGCTACATGAGACTTTGTCTCAGAAGTAAAACAAACAAACCCTAAACAAAAACAACGGGAAGCTCTGAAACACGGTGTGCCTGCTGCCACAAACAGCAACTGATCAGAAAGGAAGGAAACCTAAGAATGATAGTTTGTCACCATGTAATTAGCTTGCTATTACTCGCAAGGGCTTCCAATGTCCTAAGCACAGCAAAACATTTGAAGTCTATCTGGCATAATCAAGAGTTAGCTGTGTGCTCCAACTCCACGCTGACTGTGCTATAAGGCCTAGGGTCTAGCAGGAGTGGCCCAGTATCCCAACTGCTGATCACATCCACAAATGAATGCTTGTGGCTTGTTTTGTTTTGATTCTTAGAGATAGGGTTTCTCTGTGTAGCCCTGGCTGTCCTGGAACTCTCTGTAGACCAGGCTGGCCTCAGACTCATAGAGGTTCACCTGCCTCTGCCTTCCAAGTACTTTTTTCTTTCCGAGATAGGGTTTCTCTGTATTGTTTTGGAGGCTGTCCTGGAACTCGCTCTGTAGACTGTCTGGCTGCGAACTCACAGAGATCCACCTGCCTCTGCCTCCCCAATGCTGGGATTAAAGGCATGTGCCACCAACGCCTGGCTGGCTTTTTTTTTAATGATTTATTTATAGCCTGTTCAGTTGACCAGCTTCATCACTGGTTCCTAGGTAGTGTACCCAGCCTGCTGCTTCTATCGGCTGCCCTATGGGATGTTGAAATTGGTTTTCTGGTGGATACGTGTATTTCTGATATCAATGCCGTCCTCAGCTGAGGCTCCAGACAGGTACCCAGAGTGCCTTTATGAAGCTTCAGGGCACGCTGACCAGGAATCACATGGCAAGTACCACTGTACCACAGAAGTCCAAGCCGAGGAGATGGCCCGAAATCCAGTACTGCTCACTTCCACCAGCAGAAGCTGCCAGGCTTCCTGTATAGAACCTTTTCTCATTCTGTTTTAGTACTGTTTTCCTATTTCACTAAACTACCACCACCTTAGATCTGAAAATACACCCAAGGGGCTACTGAAACTAACAACGCCTTAGATCTGGAAATATAACCAAGGGGCTACAGATTTGAGAACTGTAAACACTGCTTACTTGGAACAGTATTATTGATACCTCCATAATGAAAATCGAGGCAGCAGGCCACACACTCTTACTGTTGGACATCCAACAGCATCTTCACCCTAAATGTTCTATTGTTGGTATGCATAAAATTTACCATTTTAGCTAGCCAGTCCTGTGGGCGTCAAGTACATTCATATTGGACAACCATCACCCTCCCCAAATGAAACTTTGTAAGCCTTAAGTACAAACTGCCCACTTCCTCCCTGCTCCAGACTCTGGTAACAGTAACCTTTTCTAGGATCCTCAAGTGAGTGAGTCATACAGTATCTGTTCAAACAGTTGTGCCTGCCTTCACTTAGCATAGTATCATAGGTTCTGGTGGTGTGTCACAATTCCCTCCCCCTTTAAACGCCTACCGTTTTAATGTATGTACGCATCCATCCACTTGGGAGGCTTTTACCTTTGTGCTACTTCTAATAATGCCATGAATATGGATATGCAAGGCTCTCCCTCAGACCCTTCTTGTCACTTCCTTTGGACATGCACAGATACGTAATGAATATATCGACCAAATCTACGTATGAGGTTGTGGGTCCCAGAAGCTTCTTACATCACTTCTCATGTAACTGAATCAAGCTCATCTGCCTTATACCTAAGAACTACTCACAAGTTTCCTTCCTGTTACCTGGCTGGTCTGGCACTGTGTAGGCCAGGCTCACACAGACCAGTCTGGCTTTGAATGCATGGGGAATCCTCGGGCTTCTGCCTCCCAAGAGCTGAGATTACAGGTATACACCACACCCAGTTTTTGGGAAACCCCAAAAATTTCAAAGACCGTAGGCTTAGGTGAACTTCTGGAGTCACTGCTTTAGTACTTCTGGCCCAGCCTGACTCCTGCCCAAACTACAGCCAATATTGTGATAGTTTTGTAAGCTTCTGGGAATGCCTGTGGATGGGGTATTATTTTGATTACATTAATTGAAGTGGAGGAGTGGCCATTGTGGTTGGCACCACTGCCTAGACAGGGAATCCTGGACGGTGTAACAGAGGAGGAAGCAGGCTGAGCACTAGTGTGCATACACTCATTGCTCTCTCCAACTATGAACAGAATGTGGGCAGCTGCTTCAAGCTTCTGATGCCTGGGCTTCCCTGATATGATGGGACTCTAATCTAGAACTGTGATTTAAAACAAACCCTTTCTGGGGACTGGAGAGCTGGCTCAGCAGCTCTGGCTGCTCTTCCAGAGGACCCGGGTTCAATTCCTTGCACTCACAGGGTAGCTCACAACTGTCTGTAACTTCAGTTCTAGAGGATCTGGCACCTTCACATAGATATGTATACAAAACACCAATGCACATAAAAGTAAATACATCTTTAATAATATAAGTAACCCCTTTCTCCCTGGATTTGCTTTTGTTAGGGCATTTTATTACAGCAACAGTAAAAGGAACAAGACAACTTCAATGACCCATGCACACGAGTGTGGCTTCTGAGGTCAAGCTCGGGCAAGTAAGAAACCTGATGGATTTTTGTAAAGCCAGTAAGAGGAAAAACAGGAAGGTCAAGAAGGTGGTGAAATCCACACGAAAGCCAAGCGGTCCTTCTTCAAGCCTTTTTTCCACCTGCTAAAACAATGAAACTTGAGTGTTTCAAATTACTTGAAGACTCACCAATCCCAAAATGCTCCCTTGAGTTCTTTCAGGGTTTCTGTCAAAAGTTCCTTTCCAAGGAATTTCAAGAGCGGCCCTCCCTCTCTGTAACTGATGAAGAGCAGCCTAGCTCGGGTTTATGAGAAATTGTGAGTGTGAAGACACTGAAAGTACTGGGCTGTAAACACAGTCAGTGTGTTTCTGACCAAGCAGGTGTGACCCAAGTCACTGCTGGCTCGGCTCCCTTTAGGGTGGAGAAGGAAAAGAAGAAAGAAACCAAGCCAGCAGAGAGACGGTGAAGGCTCCCAGTGTCTGGTTTTCTTCATTCTGTCCTGTCCTAGTAGGGAGATGGTCTAAGACACTAAGTGACAATGTCCATTCCTAAGGTTCAGCATATGCTACAAGTCACGTGGTTTTGCCCGCCCTGGCCCGTGTGGGCCCTTGTTGTAGGTAAGTTCTCTTGGGGCCTGACCCCATAAGTCATTGCTTGAGTTCCTTCACTCCTCAGCCAGCCACAGGGAGTAAGGTTCCCAGGCACACACATTAGCCTGTGAAGAGAGAATAGGACTCTGTTTAAGCTGGGAGCCTAAAAACACATTGCATGTGATTACCTGGGCCCTGCAGTGAACTGTGACCCAACAATGTCACCAACTGTGGTACTCACTGATTTGTCATATCCAGGGTCCTTGGGAAAAGGGGTGACTGACAGAATGTGATAAACCCTGGGATCTCTAAGAACCCTTCCCCCTATTCCAATTATAGTTCCTGCATGTCTACACACTTGACTTGAGTGTACATGGAGAAGCCAGAGGTAAACCTCAAGAGTTCCTCCTCAGAAAACTGTCCACCTCGATATCTTTTTTTCTTTTCTTTTTCTTTCTTTTTTTTTTTTTGAAGTTTCTCACTATGACTTGTGGATTCAGTGAGGTTGGCTAGCCAGGAAAGGAAACCCCAGGGATCTGTCTGTCTCTGCCTTCCAGCATGGGGATTACAAATGCATGCTTAGCATGTCAGGATTTCTAGACGGGCACTGGGGCCCAAACTCAGGTCCTCATGCCTGCACATGCACATTAGCGGCACAGCCATCTTCAGAGCCCCCAGCCATGGTAAATTTTAGGTGATGAGGACAGAAAACACATGCTCTCTTAAGGCTCTACACTTCCACACAACCATGGCACTGGCTGCTATCTAACTTCATATCCCTGGAGCTGACTTGTGCTGCTGTCCTTAGTTACTTCATAGAATAAAGTAATTTTCATGTAGAGGAGATATCCCATAGTGATTTTTTGGGGGGGAAGGGAGTCACATCACTGTGCATTCCTAAAGTGTGGATAGAATTTCATTGATGTGATAATCGATAGTTTGACACCTAACCCTAATCTTCTCCCTGTCTAACTTTGAACATCTAACAGTGCAGGGCTAAGTGCAAAGCTGTCAAACAAGCTACCCTCTTCATTTCCTCAATACCACTCTCGATATACTGACTTGTCCTCAGGACTTCCCTCGTATCCATCTCCCAAAGACCCAGCACAAGAGTATTCACGCCCCAGGCAAACTAGTACTTTATTTATTGCCCATTACCGACTGGAGCCTAGAAGAGGTAAACGCAGGAACGCCGTGAAGTGTCCGGTCCTGCCCCGGCGTGCCACTTCCCATTCCTCTTCCGCCTTCCGTGACGAGACTTCTTGGAAGGAAGAAGGCAAGATGGCTGCCATCCTTCAGTTATCACAGTACTGTACCTTTAGAATGGACAGCATCAGCACTGTGATAACTGAGCCAGGGCAGCCTGTCAGTCACCATGTCGGGCAGGGGCGGCCCTCCCTCCAAAGGTGCCGGTGGAGTGAAGGCCTGAAAGAAAGACAGGAGGAAGCGGAAGGAAAGGGGTAAGACATGGCAATCACCCTGAATCACACCAGAAGGCAAGCACATGACTTGTACACACCCGTGGAACAAACAACACACCCATGGAATAAACACACCCGTGGAATTCCTCCTGGTGTTCGGCCATCACATGCTTCCCGGTTACGACTCCCGTGCTCACAAACCTCATCTCCACAGCCTCATTCGTGCAGCCAGTATTTCTTCAAGGAAGATTCCATTTTAAGACCTTTCCTAGAGCAGGGCTTGCTGAAGCACACCTTTATCCCAGCACTCAGGAGGCAGAGGCAGGAGGAGTTCTGGGAGACTTGGTTCCATAACTGAGCATGACAGTGTTCTTTGAGGCTGCCTAAGAGTGAATGGTTTTCTGTGTTTCACATAATCTTCACATAGTTAATGGAGTTAACTGTGAAGCCCTCACCAACTCACCTAAAGAGGGATTATGCAACTAGGTTAGGCATTAAGACCACCCTACAGACAGAAAAAATAAACCAAAACCACAGAGGAGCTGGGGATAGAGATGACGAGAGCCCTGGTGTACATGTATGAAACTGTCAAAGAATAAAAAGGACAGACAGACTGACTGACTGACAGACAGACAGACAGACAGACAGACACACACACACACACACACACACACACACACACACACACACAGCTGGAGAGATGGCTCAGCAGATAAGAGCACTAGTTGCTCTTCCCCAGGACCTGGGTTCAATTCTCAGCCCCTACATGGTGGCTCACAAGTGTCTGTGACTCCAGTCCTAGGGGCCCTGTGACTCCTCCTGGCCTCCTTGGGCACTAGGCATACATGTAGTGTACAGACATACATTCAGGAAACACACACATACAAAATAGAAATAAAAATAAGTCATCCTACTTCAGGAAAAAACAACAACAAAAGAGAACAAACTGCTGATATAGAGAATCTTATAATGAATTCTCTTGGAGAGAATCCATTCCCAGCACCCACATGGTGGCTCACAACCATCTCTAACCCAAGTTCCGTGGGATCTGCTGCTCTCTTCCGGGCCCTGGGGGCACTGCACACACATTGGTGCACTAGCATACATGCAAACCAAAGACTCACAGCCGTTAAATAAAGAGAAAGCTGGGCGGAGGTGCATGTCTTTAATCCCGGCACGCAAAAGACAGAGGGAGGAGGAATCTGTGAGCTCAAGGACAGCCTACTCTACACAGTGAGCTACAGGACAGCCTGGAACACATAAACAAACAAACAAAATCTAATTTACAAAGTTTTAAAAACCCAGATACTGAGACCTTAAGTGATTTACCTAAGATCTTATAACTAGGTTAAAATGCAGGCCTCAATTCATTTCTGTAGATTGGATTAGGACGTTTTCTCCCCTGTTCATCTCATCTCAGCCAGGATATTCACTTTAGACCACTTACAAACATTTCTTTCTTTCTTTTGTTTCTGTTTTTCGAGGCAGGATTTCTCTGTACTGTTTTGGAGGCTATCCTGGAACTCACTCTGTAGATCAGGCTGGCCTCGAACTCACAAAGATCTGCCTGCCTCTGCCTCCTGAGTACTGGGATTAAAGGCCACCACTGCCTAACTATTTTTTTTAATGTGCATTGATGTTTTGCTTGCATGTGTATCTGTGTGAGGGTGTCAGATCTCGGAGTTGTGAGCTGCCACATGGATGCTGGGAATCAAACCTGGATCCTCTCGAGGAACAGTTAGTGCTCTTAACCCCTGGACCACCTCTCCAGCTCCTATGAACATTACTGAATGTCTTGTTTTAGTAACCCAGACCACTTAACAAAAATTAGTAGTTTGTGCTGTAGGAAGCAATTCCTTCCAAAATAATACACTATTCATCTCGCTGCCCTTGATGCTGAACGGTCATGTGCTGACACTACCGGGCGGTGGTCAGTGCGCCCAGGGCGGGTTTTTCACTATGGTTTAGGTCAGTTCCACAGTTATAATGAAACAAGGCTAAATCTTTGGAATGCCTTATATAATATGATGATGACTTTTGTTTGTTTGTTTGTTTTTTGAGACAGGGTTTCTCTGTATTGTTTTAGAAACTGTCCTAGAACTCACTCTGTAGACCAGCCTGGCATCAATCTTAGAGATCCTCCTGCCTCTGCCCTCTGAGTACTGGGATTAGGGCATGTGCCACCACCACCCTGCTGGAATACTTTTTTTTAAGGCAACACACATATCACCTTATTATTATTTGTTCCTTTGAAATTATTTCAGGGATGAGCCCTGCTTTTAATAAAGGGTACACAAGAGGCTGTGCATGACTTTAGTCCCACTAGGGGAGGCAGAGGCAGGTGAATCTCTCTGAGTTCTGGCCATCCTGGGTTACATAGTAAGACTTTGTCTCAAAAAAAAAAAAAAAGGGACAAGAAGTCTCTAAAATTGGAATGGCAGCATCAGAATGCCAACCTATTAAAGCCATGATTCATTGCAACTTTCCGCGTCAGTCATAATGTCTCAAACTGTTCCAGCATGAGCAGAGCTTGACAGGTATTTAAAAAATAATCATGTTTTCAATTAGGAATTTACTCAATTTCAAAGGCCCATTATATGCAGATCAGACATTAACTCTGCCTCAAATAAGTCAGATAGATGAATCAGTTCTTTAGATCAGGGTCAGAAACCAGAATAGCACAGTGAGTCTAGCTAAACAATTAACTCTATGCACTGTGAAACTGACCTTAATCTTTAGAAAAGTAATAGCAAAATGACATAATCCACCTCCACAGAAATCAAAAGCAATCTCTCCCAAGTACAAAAATAGCTAAAAGTTAAGGAGCCAGCATGCAGGGCTTAGCAAACTGATGTAATACCGAGTTTGGTCACAAGGTGGCAGCCAAGATTAACACAAAGAGCGAGCAGGATCCCACAATCCATGTTTCCTGGAAATGGTTGCGTGTTTTCACCCAAATCATAAACATGTTATGTGAACAAAGTTATTTTGATTGTTATAAGGGAAAATTTTGGAGAGCTGAACCACTAAAAAGTATAAAAATACTAACAACCAATTTCTCCTGACCGCAGGGTCTGCTCCACATATGGAAAAATTGGTGAACCCCATTCACTTAGTTGAGGTCCCTGGATGGGTAACACTGTAACTGGATGTCTGTAACTCCAAGAGGAATTTAATGTGTGTCATGTATGTCAAAGCTGAAGTTCACTATAGTAGCCAAATTCACTCTACAATGGGTAAAATAACTACATGATAGTTCCTTTTTGTTTTTGTTTTTTGTTTGTTTGTTTGTTTGGTTTTTCGAGACAAGGTTTCTCTGTGGATAGTTCCTTTTTGTAAAACTTGGCTTTTCTCTTTCACTATTTTTACACTTAAGTTAGGAAAAGAAAGGCAAGCACTCAAAATAAGAAAAACATTCGTTGGGCTGTGTGTTGTTGCGCATGCCTTTAATCCCAGCACTCGGGAGGCAGAGGCAGGCGGATCTCTGTGAGTTTGAGGCCAGCCTGGTCTACAGAGTGAGTTCCAGGATAGCCTCCCAAACAATACAGAGAAACCCTGTCTTCAAAAACCAAAAAAAGAAAAAAGAAAAAAAGAAAAAGAAAAGAAAAGCATTCACTATTATCTTAGACCAATTGTGAAGAAGTCTCAAGGAGAAATATGGGTTTGCAAAATGGCCCTTTATGGTGGCATGTCTGCAGTCTGAACATTCAGGAGGCTAAGGCAAGAGGCAAGTAGTCTAAGACCACCCTGGGCATCTTAGCAAGGCCCTACCTCCAAAAATTAACAGAAAAAGAGTTGGGGGTGCAGCTCGGTGGCTTGTCTCACATATGTGATACCCAAGGTCCAACTCTCAGTACGTCAGAATGGAATCTTTCCTCTTGGAAATTCCCTTTCTAAATGTATACTCTTGTAAAACTAAATCAGAAACACTTCTTCGATATATTCCCCTTTGCAAATGAAAATTATCTTAGTCAAAAACAAGAGAGCACAGATACGCTACAGCAAGGAAGTCTATCACACTCTAAGAGAGGACAAAGACAGTGACATGACATGCGTTCCTTCAGGTGGTAAACTCAGTTCTCATGTGGAAAATGACAGCACAGCCAGGCATGGTGGCTCATGACATGAGCACTCAGGAGGCAGGATGACTGCTTTGAGGTCCGGGTCAGCGTGAGCTACAGAGTGAATTCTAGGCCAATCTGAAGCAGAGAGGGACAGACCCTGTCTCAAAAACAAACAAACAAAACTAATCCCACCAAAGATAAAAACACAGCAAAGAGAAGAACCAATTTCTTCATAATGCATGCACAAAAAATTCTTAAAACTCCAAGTTGTTCACTGACAATGCCGTGCCTTAAACCTTGCCCCTGAATGACACAGAATACAAATGGTCAGACTAAAGACACGTTTCACCCCTGCCATCTGTAAGCTAAAAAATTAACACATGACCTAAAACCATTAAATGCTGACTGTATATTACATAACTGCAGGCCTATTGCCTGTAAGTTAGAATGTTTTAAAACTGTTGCTGGCTATTTTAAATTCCCAATCCCTTCAACTTGAAAAAAACCATAAGCCCACCTCAATGACAATATTAAATATTATACCAATGTATTAGGAGCAGGGGACTAGACGTCTGTACCTGCCGGGCTTGGAGCATGCAGTATGTATACGTAGTATGCACCTTGCTGCAAACTCTGCTACTTTGCACTTTGAGAAACTAATTTGCTAGCTGGGTGTGGTGGTGCACGCCTTTAATCCCAGTACTCTAGGCGTGGAGGGTTGAGGGTGGCACAGAGGCAGGTGGATCTCTGTGAGTTCCGGGCCAGCCTGGTCTACAAAGTGAGTGGACAGCCTGAGCTGTTGTTACACAGAGAAACCCTGTTTTGAAAAACCAAACCAAAAAAAGAAAAAGAAGAAAGAAAGTCTAACTTGTGTCAAAGATTTGTGGGAAACCTGGAGAGGGTAATAGTTATTTTTTTCTCCCTTAAGGGGAGATTGGTT